GAACCTGCTCTTTTTCACTTTTGCTGAGAAAAGCCAGCACCACCTAAAAAACCGGGAAAGTTCATAATTAGCACAGATTGACTGAAAATCACCAGTAACTGACAGACACAAAATCAGTGTATTGTTTCCTTTAAAATAATAAATTTTCCTTTAGGTTTCTGCTCAACTTAAGTATGCATTCAATCTGGGTTCTTACCTTAAATCTTTCTGCTTTGCTCAAGTAGAAAAGGTGCTGATATACAAGGCCAGGATCTTTTCCAACTACATAATATTCCAATGACTGGATAAAAATTGAAAATATTTCTCCTTCAAGTTTGTTCCCTAGCAGCATTGGCAATTTTTTGGGATCAGTAATTGTTAGAAGATCTGCACAAGCAGCTTTATCCTTGTTGATATTCACTGCGTTTATAATCTGACCAAAGTCGTAAGCATTAGATGGTTCCGAAATGCACAGTTTCTCAGAGGTCTTCAGTGGCACATCCTCCTGATCTGCTTCCTTAGAAGTAGCATGATCAGTCACAACATCTTCTGATGTAGCAAAGTGTCTCCCTTCCTGTTCATCAGGTTCAGTCACCTTCACAAAGAAAATGGCAACAAGTCATTTCACTGTAGACATATAGATAACCTGAAGCTTCATAAACTGCATGCGTCTATCCAACAAAAGTGTCACTTAAAGTTAGCATTTTGTTCTTCATAAAAGAAAGCCACCTATGTTCTTTTATGTCCTATTTCCTCCCCCAGAATAGTCTCTCTAATTCATCTTTAAAGGCATGTATTTACGTTTCCTTTCACTGCTTGGTGCTCTGCTGTAGAAAGACAATTGGAGAAAGCCAAGGAGGACGTATCTGCAGAAGACAAGCAGAACTGAAAATACCCATGTTTGATTAGGTCGAGAGAGGTTCTCCTCCCCCTCTACTCTGCCCTGGTGAGACCGCATCTGGAATATTGTGTCCAGTTCTGGGCCCCTCAGTTCAAGAAGGACAGGGAACTGCTGGAGAGAGTCCAGCGTAGGGCTACAAAGATGATCAAGGGAGTGGAGCATCTCCCTTATGAGGAGCGGCTGAGGGAGCTGGGTCTCTTTAGTTTGCAGAAGAGGAGACTGAGGGGAGACCTCATTCATGTTTATAAATATTTAAAGGGTGAGTGTCACGAGGATGGAGCCAGGCTCTTCTCGGTGACAAACAATGATAGGACAAGAGGTAATGGGCACAAGCTGGAACACAGGAGGTTCCACTTAAATTTGAGAAGAAACTTCTTCTCAGTGAGGGTGACAGAGCACTGGAACAGGCTGCCCAGAGAGGTTGTGGAGTCTCCTTCTCTGGAGACATTCAAAACCCGCCTGGACGCCTTCCTGTGCAACCTCATCTAGGCGTTCCTGCTCCGGCAGGGGGATTGGACTAGATGATCTTTTGAGGTCCCTTCCAATCCCTAACGTTCTGTGATTCTGTGATTCTGTGATGTCTGTGCTGTGCCTCCAGAATAGCACAGGTATGCAGCAGCTGTACCAGGTTGCTGTTTGCAGTCTTGCTGTGGAAGGAGAAAGCTCAGCCTGCTGTAACTGCCTTAACACCCACTTCACTTCTCCAGTGCTTGTGTGTACCGAGTTTCCTGAATGGGCCGCTAGAAAATTAACCACGGGTACAACTACATTTGCTAAAATGTATTTCAAGCTAAGTACAAACTGACTAAAACTCATTGAACGGAGACTTTTCAAAGCATTCCAAACTTTTTGGAAAGTCTGAAGATACTGTATTGCATAGTACAGGGGAGCTGGAGTAGTCATTTTTGAAAAATACTGCATTGAGCTTACTTTGTTGTATTTTTCACCAATCCCTAGTACCAAGAGAACAATCTTGACTGTTTTTTTTTAATTATAATCGAATTAAAAATTTAATTTATTTAATTATATATTTTTTAAATTACAATTTTCAAAAATTTATAATTACAGCTTGACTAAAATGAACAGTAGTGATAAATCCCAGTTTCTAATTTTCCTTATTTTGCTTTGCAGCCTGTTTTCACAGAACCACCTTGTACTACAGCAGGTAGTCCCTAAGGGGGCGGCTGTAATTGTGATAACAAACATAAATGCTTCCTGCCCCACCCCTGGAAAAATTACCACTGCCAGTAATGCAGTTAGCTGTGCTCTGAATAATGCGGTCACTTCCCAAACCTCCTCTAAACACCAGCCCGGTCCCTTTGTTTGTCACAACTTGGAGCTTAACACCACAGCCGGCTTATGCCAGTTACATAAAATCTCATGAACTCGTGACTATGTGAAACGTTTCAGTAACACAAACTGTCTCTGTATTAATAACTGCAGTCTCCATTATACCACCATTTTGAAACTGCATTATCAAATTACAGTATCATTTTACAGACTGGTAACTATGTATTTTAACTAAATGTTTTAAAATGAGAAGGGAAAAAAAAATGTCTTAAAGACCAGCAAAGCTACAATCCAAAAATACCAGATGACTGGCAAAATCCTTTCATCACCTAATGCTACCCAGAACCCTGCGAGGCTAGCATTCTGATCCAGTACATAACACTACACCCTGTATTTCTTCTGTAAGACCTTACAGATGTTTTAGCCACAGTCTTACTCTTTAAGGCAGGATTTCGTTCTCCAGACCAATAATGTTACTGGTGGCACAGGACCAGCCAGACCTGCTGATAGTGAACCCGGCCCAGCAGAGCCCCAGAGGCTTCCCGAGCAGCACAGACTTTAAAGGCAAAACCGCGATTTGACAGCCACAGGCTGTAAAACTGGTATTGCAAAGTCTACGCATTTTTTGTTTACAAGGAGCACATCCTCAAGTTTAGTGTCATCTAAACGTACTTTTTCCTTTCCTGCTGTGGTTCTGAATACACTTCAAAGCAGTCCAAGCTTTACTATGCAATGTAATGGACACTGAACACATCCTATGCAAGAATCCTTCAATATGCCCTCAAAATAACATGAAAAATACAACACACCCAAATAAACTATTGAGCTAAGAAATACAAAACAAAAGCTTTACTATTATGTATGGCTTCTGTACTGCCTGCTTTTAAAAATGAACATGTATACCTCTTGGATGGTTATTTTCTTCCTTTGCTTTTGTGGACCGCTAGCTCCAGCACTGCTGTCACGGTTAAGCAGTTGTGTTACCTCCTTTAGTTCTTTTTTTGCTTCAAGAACATTTGGATCTATTAGAAGAACTTTGTTGAAATCATCAACGCTGGCTTGGTAATTCTGTAAGGAGAAGGGAAAATATTTTTGTCATAAGCACACCACTATAAAAATAGATTTGTAGTACCACACTGTTCTTTACACTTCAGAAAAATAAAAATGCTAGGATCCTGACATTAAGTAGACAAAAATAATCTAAGTACAGTGTAATTTTATTAGAGGGGAATAAAGGAAACTGAGGATGAGTTTAAGTTAGTATTTTGCAACTAAACACTTCCGTATTAAATATGTAATATGAAATCATTTATTCTGTGAAACATATTCCCTGTATCAGAGAATAAATTATTGAAGATTGCTGCTTATAAGCATAATTGCTTACAGTGTAATACTTCTTCAAGATTAATATCGTGTGAGTCCATCAACAGTTTTTGTACTTGCTTTGCCAATAAATCAGAGTTAAGGTTAGATTAAAAGTACACCTAATCTTCCTAGGCTTCAGTCCAACAGACCATCTCTTACAGCTTGAGAAGGAAAAATTTTGGTAATACTTGAGAAGATTGGGATCATGTTATGAACTCTGAGACGAGCAGGATCAGGACAAACACATCAATAAAGTGGCATTAGGACACATTCCCTCAATAATCTTGTAATTTGTTTAATGTTTTTATTTCAAATTTTGACATTAGAAATTATGATTTTTACACTAAACTTTCTGGAGAGACAAAGTTAATAGCATCGATTCTGAGGGGGACTGGGCTATCATAGAGAAATCAAGATACCTTGAGGGCTGGAGTATCAAAAATTAGAGTGAAATGTAGCAGTAAAAGACTATGCAGACAGTGAAAGATCAACATAATTTCTTTGTGTGAGGGACCTAATATTTCTTCTGTTCCCAAGCAGTATCATAAGGTTACTATAAGTCATTCATATGATCATGAATAAAATCCTCATGTACCAACTGAGGTATTTACTCAGCATCTCAACTGTAATAAAAGCACTACTGTACAAGTCCCTCATA